ATAGTTTAAAAGTAGCAAAATAGGATTTTCAAAATTTATTTTTGTACTTCATTCATTTTTGGATAGTATTGAACATGTTGTAACAGTAGCTTACTACCGCCTCACGGTAGTGCATTACCGCTATCGTGTGCTGCATTCTGGGCAGGAATAGTACTTCGTCTCCAAATTCAATTAAAGTATATAGAAATGTTCTCTAATGTTCATAGATCATTTTAGCATCATTAATTTGTAGTTTTAACAACAATATCAAGGTTTATGATTCTTGGTTCTTCAAACATGTCAAGCACAAAACTCAATCAAACGACCGTTTATAAACGTAGAAATGATCTATACGAAGATTCTAGTCACTAGATATATTTACGTTCTTACCTCGAAGCTTAATGAAGGTTTTGAGAATTTTCCAATGAAACTTCCATTGAAGAATACTCTTAGCTCCGGCGACTTCACACCAAATTGACAGCACCACTACGTTCTCCACACTCAAGGGTATTTTTCACAATAAATTTAAAGGGAAATGGTGAAGAATTGAGGCAAGATAGGTTGGTTTATATAGGATGAAGAATGAGGAAGAAGACTTGGAAGATGACCTTGCTTCTCCTGTTTCGGCGTCTTGGTGGAGGGGGCCGCGATGTTTTCGATTCCAAACGTAAGTGCCTGATTGGGACTAATTTAAGTCCCAGTCGAGGTACACTTTTTGGTCCAACTTTCTTCTAATTGAATTCCGATTGAATTGTTGCGGTCAGACAGTCAAACTCTACATAATAATATAATTTTCATTATTTATTGACAAACTTTATAAATCACTTATTTTTGGGTACTTCTCAATAATTAATTAATTATCAATTAAAAAATTCTGATAGGCCTATTTTTTGGGCGTTATAGTAAATATGACCACTAGGGAGCTCCCTTAACGATATTCATCTAGGGGATCGGAGTAAATAAAGTAGAGGATATTGGGAGTAAAATGACTAAAATATGGTAGAAGCTGTAAATTAGAAAGAAATTAAACCAGAGTAAAATTGGTATTTCACGCCCAAATTAGTTCTGAATTCAGTAGCTTTCTTTGGTCTGGTCTGCGTTTTCCTATCTCGCTGGAATTGGGCTGCTCTTTGCGTCTGGTCAACGTCGCTGAACGGAGGGAGACACAACATCAGGTCTCGAGAGTGCCGACATCGGAGTGGACGTTGTTGTTTTGTGCTCGCTGGAGGTGGAAGGTTGTGCCTGGGAGATGAGCTTGGAGTCGAGTCTAGGTTTCTAAAGGTTGGGTTGTCGCTAAATTGTTTGTCGCTGAAGCCGCCACTGGTTTGTCGCTGAAGCATGCTTAACTCTAGAGTTTCTAAGTGATGAGCTCTCGAAGATAAGAGGCACCTTGTTGGTATGAGTAGTACTATCAATCCTTTTGAGCATTTCCTTTCCCCAATCCATTTATTTTCAAATTAGAGTATTACACAAACCCTAAAAGAGTTCTAGTTAATTAGGTTATTTATCTTGATGGTGTTCGAAGGGACTTGAAATTCATCCACCTAAATTTAATCTAATTTACAATAAATGATAATAAGAACAAATTAGACATCATAGTCATGTTGCCATGCTAACAACGTCTCTCACGCCTACTCCACCGTATCATTGTACTCTAAAATGTAAATGGCTAAATATAACTATAGATATTTCAAACATGACTACTTGATGCGGTTCATCACTCATACTCGTTCGAATTGCTGAAGAGGTTATTAGGTTTGAGAATTGGTGAATGTCGAATGCACACCCTAGAGTGTTTGACTAGCGATTTGATTTTAGTATACAAAGATCAAAAATTTAAAGTATTACTTCCTTTATCCCAGTGTATTCGTCAGGTTTGAGTTTTTACGAGCTAAACTAGACATACCTTAATTTTGAATTACTCTAAAGTTATATTTTGTTGGAGTTGTGCCATGATGGCCAACTGTTCATCGTTATCCAATCATGCATAGGCAGATATAATATCTTTACATATCTCATGCTAATGTAAACAAATATTATATTCCTAGATTTATATTTAAAGATGTTTATCAGATAGTGTTATTCTGCTGATGAGACTAACATCTTGAAATAAATATTTATCTGAATGTCCATAGTCGAGTATTAATGAGAGTGGGATATCGTTAATGCATGTGAGACTAGTGTGTGTTGGATGTTTGACTTAGTATCATAGTCAATGACGGTGTGTTCACATCCGCACATGGTCAGATATTATCTGGAGATAATAGGATGCCGGAATGACCCATCCTAAAGATGTTGCTTGAACTTTTAGTTCATGCTCTAAGCATCTTTAGCGCGACCATGGGTGTAACTATCCTTCGACTTGAAGTATTACGTTTTCTGCATATGTGAACCCGCATACTTTGATGCATCGTCCTAAGCCATATGAAATAAGGATGGTATACAGGCTTTGTTTTGGGTATGCCGCAGCGCGTATTCAGAAACGTAGATTACGTACATAGGATTTGTCACTACTCTTTTTAAAGAGATTATTGCTTATGGGGCCCACTGATAAGTTATGACTAAGGAAATTGCATGGCCATGCTGAGATGCTTATATGACGTCTGTTCCTATTCGTCAGACTTGATAAATCAGTGAATGACTTAATGGATACAAGTTGGATTTTATTAATCCCTTGCATTAAGTTTAGACATTGAGACAAAGGGATACAGTTACACGGAGTCTGAGTCGTGGAAAGGTTTTGACGGTGCAAACGTCTTAACTTATAATCTGGGGGCAATAATGTGTTGCTAGATACCACTTATTGCTTATAGTATTTGTGCAAATCCAATACTGTAGCAAGCTTTATAAGTGCCTATACGGGTCACACACTTTGGACAATTTAAGGAGTAGGATTAAACAATGGGATAATAAGTAATTTGTATATTTGTAAAAATAGTAAAATAAAATATTTTGGAATGTAATATTATATATATATATATATAAATATTTGGTTATATATATTATATATATGTGCCGATTAATAAATATATATATATATATATATATATATATATATATATATATAAATATATATATATATATATATATATATATTATATGTTGAATATTTTATTTTGGTTTGTCATTTTAATTATGAAAATAATTAATTTGACATAAACTATTTAAAGTATATTTGTATACTTGTTTAAAAATGATATTGGTATTTTTATTTGATTTAAAATTAATTTTAAATTATTTTTTTGTGTAAAATAAAATACACTTTGAACATTTAAGTGGAGAAGAATTTCAAGAATCCTTCTCACTTTTTCAAATCATTCAAATCAATTGTTCGGCCATGATATCCTTTAAAGGATCAAATTTCCTTGATTGAAATTAGTGGAGCTAATAATGTTTTAACATTTAGCTTAATGACAAAGTATGATTAATCAATTTGTAATCTTTGGTTTTTAAAAGCACGGCAATTTCATTCATTATAATGGAAGGAGATCATCAATTGATTATTTTGGTTTTACTTTCGGCCATTTGATATTTTAGTGGGAGAAAATATTTTAGTGTTCCATTAATATCATTTTGTGTATAGAAAATATCTATAATATTTTCTAAATATTATTAGAAATATTTTGTATAGAAATATAAAAAGATTATTATTATCCCAATTTTAATCTTTATATTTTATACTACTATAATCTTTACTAGCATAAAGATTGTGGTAGACTCTGGCGTTGTTCGTGTGTCAAAGTTGGAGATCGGACGCTTGAACAGTTACGTTTGCACTTTCAACGCTCTTCCTACGACTTCTTCGTTTTTACCGCTTACGGAGAAAGGTATACATTTCTTACTCACTATAAGTTTTAGTACGTGATTCTGGGCAAGATAATAATGTTAGGATGTTAAAAACTATAGTTTTACGTTTGACTTTTAAAATTTTAAAAGTCAAAGTTTTAACTTGGTAATTATTAAAATTCAAAAATTGGTAAAATGATTTAATTTAGTCTTGGAGTAAGTATTGGACATAAATAAATCATTGAAAATGAATTTTAAATTTATTTATTTTATTTCTACCCGTAATATATATATAAATACATATATTTTGATTTTTCGAAATATATATTTATATATATTGTAGAAATAGTAAATATAATTTTATTTGGACATAAAACATCATTTTATGATTGATAAAATTATATTGTAATTTTTGAATGTATTATTTTCTATTTTGAATTTATTGTATTTATTTAGGTAAAAACTAAACATAAATATGGGAAAATTCAAAATGAACTTTATTAAACTTGTAAATATTATTTCTAAGTTTAATAAGGTTGTTGATAAATATATTGTACAAAATAATATTTTTTAGTAATTAAATAAATATATATTTATATATGTACTCGGTATCATTACCGAAATATTATATATATTTATATATTTGTATTTTAATTACATAAATGACTAATATATATTTTGGAAAGTTATATCTCAGTAAGAAAAATAATGTTTTTCAAAATATTAAATTTTTATAATTTAATATTTTCGAAATCAATTTAAATGGCTTTTTATAACTTATATTCAGATTTAACTAATATATTTTGGAAATAATGATTTATAAATTTTGGAAATTTTATTTCCAGGTTTATAAATGTTGAAAATAATTACTGGAAGTTGAAATTTAATTTTCATGATTGTTGCAAAATTTTTCGGAATTAAATTGCCTTTTCGAAAATAATTTTGCAAAAGGGGCATTTTGGTCATTTGATATATTCTGGAATTTTACTACTCTGTCCAGAATTTCCAGATTATATAAAATGATTTTATAAAATTTTATTAGATTTATTTGGACATCTAATTTAATTTTATGAGTTTTAGAAAATATTTACTGCCGTAGTATTTTTCTAGAATTGTCTGGGGTGAGCGCGGTTCACCCGGTGTATGTATATCTCTATTGCCTGTGTGGATGTATGATATGCATGGTGGATGATTGTGGCTATAGTTTATTTGATTATAATACGGCCTGCGTGTCGTGCCTTATCTTTTAAATTTTTGTTGTAAATCTATTTCTCTCTCTTACCTCAACCGAGGATTCTTTTCTCACGTGGTGATTAGAGGATGAAAAGATTTGATGACCGTTTGGAGAAATCTAAAAGAATGGAGATAGCCCGAAGTTCAAGTGCCCGAAAGCCAGTGGGAGCTATCGTTTTATTTTTCTTTTAGGGGCCACAATCATTACACGTTTATTTAGTGCGTTTTGTGAATGCATGTTGAATATATGTTGAACGCTAGAAATGGACATGTGCGCGGCCATGTCGATAGGTGAGATCGAAATTATAAATCCCTCACGAATATTAAGTCTGTTGCCTTCTCACGCCCGGCACCTATCCGGCTAATGTGCACTGTCATGTACTCAGCCTCAGCAGAGCATAGTACGGTGTATGTTAAGCTGGTTACGGGAACCGCCATAGCGTGGTCGCTGTCACACGTTGGGTTAGACTTAACTGAGTCTCGGTCAAATGGATGGACGACTCAAAGGCAGTAAGTTGGGGTCATCAATGACAAGTCGGATGATTTTACTCACTCATCCAGCCAGGAGTTGGATCTTTATGATTTAATTGGAACTCTGTTCCTAACCAAAGTAGTCTGCTTGTAAGACGTGCCTCAGCCAATTACAAGTATGGTGAAAAGGTGTCCTGGTCCGGTTGTAGTAATATTATTCGCCCAACACCAAACCAAGAGCTGAGAGCCCGGCTCATCAGTTGGAACTATGTTCCTACCTAAATAGTTGTCTTGTGGAGTAACGCCCAAGCGGAACGCAAGATAATGAAATATGGATCTTGGCCCACTAGAGGTTTCGCCGGAAATCTCTGAATCAATATCGAGGGCTATTGATTTGTTAAAAATAGTGGGAGATAATTAATTAAAGGCCTAATTAATTATTAAACATGATAGATAACCTAGTTTGCAAACTTTTCTGTAGATGGCAAACAACAACAACTCTTTCAACCTGCGTTACATCCTGGAAAATAACAAGTTATCCGGGACCAACTTTCTTGACTGGGAGATGAATCTCCGAATCGTTCTTAACTGTGAGAGGAAACTCTACATCCTCGAAACGGATCCTCCCAAGACCCCTGATGCTAATGCTCGTGCGTCCGAACTCACTTCCTTCAAGAAGTATGAGGACGACGCGCGAGATGTAAAGTGTATCATTATGGCCAGTATGACTGTGGAGCTCCAAAGGCTCCACGCAGACATAGAAGTGCGTCCTATGATACAATGCTTAAGAGACCTTTACCAGGGTCAGCCCCAAAACTCAAGTATTTACGTTATCGAAGTCAATATGTCTGATATCACCTCTTGGGTGATGGGTACTGGATGTGGTTCTCACATCTGTACTGTAGACAATTGACGGAGGGGAGATACAACTAAAAGTCGGAAATGGCGCACTCGTCTATGCATTGATCGTCGGAACCTATAGTTTGTCTCTACCTAGTGGTCTTATATTGCATTTGAATAATTGTCTGTTTGTACCTAGTATGAGCAGAAACATCATTTCTATATCCTGCCTTGACAAAGCAGGATTTTCGTTCGTTGTAAAAGACAAAACTCTTTCTGTCTTTAGAAATGATATATTTTATGCAAGTGCAAAAATGACCAAAGGTCTCTATATCCTTGACATGGATACCGCAATATATAACGTAGATGTTAAGAGAAACAAACCTAACAGTTTGAATCTCCACTACGCCAAAAACATCATCAGACCACTGTTGATTCACTACTGTTTATGCAAACACAGTAGTTGAAAAAAAACAGACTACTGTTAGTTTTTCTTAAGAACAGAACAGTAGTCTAGCTGCAATGCTTTAAAACTATTTTTCAAGTTTCGAGAAACAGTAATGTATCATTAGTTGTCTGTCTCAGTTCAAGATACAATTTTTCTTACAACAGTTGTCAATAACAAGTTAAGAATACTCTTTTTAAACAATAGTCTGGGTTGTTATTATAGAACTGTTTTTAAATTTATTAGAAACAGTTATCTAACGTTTGTTGTCTGTTTCATATGGGTTTTTTGCCCTTGTTGTTTATAATAGGAATAGAAGACTCTTTTAGAACAATAGTCTATAAATTATGGGTAGAACTGTTTTTGAAGCTGTGAGAAACGGTCATCTATTATTAGTAGTCAGTTTCGTAAAAAATACAGTTTTTATTGCCACAGTTGTCAATAATTAGTTAAGACTACTATTTCTTAACAGAAGTCTGGTTTCCCAATGTATAACTGTTTTTAAACTTATAAGAAATAGTATTGTATTACAAGTAGTGTGTGTCACACTATTTTTTCACAGTTATCTATAATAAGTAAAAAAACTGTTTTTAAGAGAATTTTTTTCACAGTTATCTATAATTGCAGCAGCTCTCTTGTCCCCCTATCTTCGCCCCCTGTCCAGACTATGGCTTTCCAGAGCATCACAGCAAACAATTGCAGAAACCAAAGCATCACAGCAAACAAAATGGATCAAAGCATGACAGCAAACAAAATGGAGTTGGTTGGTTTCTTTGGTCCCAATTGCAGCAGCTGTCTTGTCCCCCTATCTTCATGCCCCTGTCCAGACTATAGCTTTCCAAAGCATCACAGCAAACAATTCCAACACACACTCAAAACCCACCCCAAACTGAAACAAGTCAAGCACTCCAAACCAACTCAACCCCCCCCTAAGAGTTCAACTCAGTCACTCTAAAACTACTGCCCAAACAATCAAACAACCGTTGTTTTAAAGATTTATATGGACATGAAAAAATAAACACTTCCATTCAAACGAAATAATTTGTACATGGACAGGCTGGGTACTGTCCCGCTACACACAAAGGGAATTGGGAACCCATACAATCCATCAATCTCACATCATAAAACAAAAAAACAATTAGAAGATGGCGAGATGCAAATAGAATGTATGACCCAAGGTTTACTGAGGAATGGAGTGCGACAAATAGAGAACAACTTTTTTGCTCAAGAAACTACTTTGGTGCTGCAATTTTTCATGACGATGCCTCCAAAACATGATCTGTTATAGGCCAAAAGTTGGTTCTTTTTAATAGTGGTAAATGCAAATAAAGGCAATGACCAACAAGTATCCAAGAAATAGTACATATCCTTGAAGTTAGGAAATGACTCACCAACATGGATATCCCTCAAGCTTCATCCTTCAAGCATTCCGTTAATATCCTTGAAGCAGGTTCAT